GAATTGAGAGAAATATCTATTATCTAATCACTCTGTCTGAGCTGAAATTTGTCACAAAATCGCTGCAAGACATCCAATCTTTATGCAGCTTGAGATAGCGGAATTGTTCCAGCTCTACAGAATGGCAATATCTTTTCATTGATGTAAAGTATCTACAGCTTATCTTTTATACAGTGAAGTTAACATTTCAGTCTGATAATTTTTAAAGCATTTTATTACAGAAGATTCTGTAAACAACAACAATAAATGAGCCGCGTCATGACAAAACCAACATAATGGGTTTATGACCAGCACGGATCTAGAGGTGCCTGCGCATCCACGCAGTCTGATCAGGATCCATGCTGTTTGCTATCAGTTTCTTTACTTGTTATAGGGTCTGTAAGCGAACAGCACGGATCTGGATCAGACTGCTTGAATGCGCAGGCTGGTCTGAATCCATGCTGGTCCCAACACATTATGTTGGTTTTGTCTTGACGCGGCTCAAATTAAGAGACTCTTGATTGTGTTAGATGCTGAGAAACAAAAGCAACAAGCAACAGGAGTGTTGATTTCGTCAATTTATTTCAAAAGCATTCAAATGGCGCACACACTGTTTATTCATACAAATGCTATATTTGCAAAATTTGGGACTTTCAATGTATTGAACTTTTCTGCAGCCTTGAGGGCATATGTTAAAGCTGCATGCCTCCAGATGAACCAAAATATTTAAAACTAGAAATGTGTCATCATGCCACGGATGCCCCCGCATGCAGCCAAAATTTCAAATGTTATAATATTTAGTTCCAAATTTGTTTGCACAAATTATTTTTTTCATTCTAAGTTCAAAGCCCTTAAAACTTTTCAATGTTAACACAAACCATTTTTATACAATGTTCAAGGCACTGAAATTATTCAGTCTTAACCATTTTTATACAATGTTCAAGGCACTGAAATTATTCAGTCTTAACCTTTTAAAAATAGCATATTGCATATTTGTAGCCAACATATGGCTATATACATTTCCACAAAAGTATGAGTGCTGAAACTGAAAGTTCAAAATTTTTCCAACATTCAGGAAAGATAAGTTTGTCTAAAATCATTGAACCACGACCAAATTCAAACTTAAACTACTTATTCCTAAGATGTATCTATATTATTTTCAAAGTGAAAGGGACATAACTCTGCCAAAAAATCATCGAACCATGACCAAATTCCAACTTGACCTGCGCATTCCTTTGACATATCCATATGTCAATTTTGAGTTGAATATGTAACACTGTTGGGTTGATAATGAACAGAAACTGTAAATTTCATATCATTTTCAAAGTGAAAGGGGCATTACTCTGCCAAAAATCATTGAACCATGACCAGATTCGAACTTGGTCTGCGCATTCCAAAAACATATCCATATGTCAAATTTGAGTTGAATGTGTAATATTGTTGGGGAGATAATAAACGGAAACTGAAAATTTCATATTATTTTTAAAGTGAAAGGGGCATAACTCTGCCAAAAATCATCGAACCATGACCAAATTTGAAATTGACCTGCGCATTCCTTTGACGTATCGATATGTCAAATTTGAGTTGAATGTTTAATACTGTTGGGGAGATAATAAACAGAAACTGAAAATTTCATATTATTTTCAAAGTAAAAGGGGCATAACTCTGCTAAAAATCATCGAACCATGACCAAATTTGAACTTGGCCTGCGCATTCCTTTGACGTATCGATATGTCAAGTTTGAGCTAAATGTGTTGTACCATTAGGGAGATAATGAACGGAAACTGAAAATTTCATATCATTTTCAAAGTGAAAGGGGCATAACTCTGCCAAAAATCATTGAACCATGACCAAATTTGAACTTGACCTGCGCATTCCTTTGACATATCCATATGTCAAGTTTGAGTTGAATGTGTTGTACCATTAGGGAGTAAATGAATGGAAACTGAAAATTTCATATTATTTTCAAAGTAAAAGGGGCATAACTCTGCCAAAAATCATCGAACCATGACCAAATTTTGAAACTTGACCTGTATTTTCTCATGACATATCAATATGTCAAGTTTGAGTTGGAATGTGTTGTACCGTTGGGGAGATAATGAACGGAAACTGAAAATTTCATATTATTTTCAAAAGTAAAGGGGCATAACTCTGCCAAAAATCATCGAACCATGACCAATTTCGAACTTGACCTGTATTTTCTCATGACATATCCATATGTCAATTTTGAATTGAATGTTTTGAACCGTTTGGGAGATAATGAACGGAAACTAAAAATTTCATCTTATTTTCAATGTAAAAGGGGCATAACTCTGCCAAAAATCATCGAACCATGACCAATTTCGAACTTGACCTGTATTTTCTCATGACATATCCATATGTCAAATTTGAATTGAATGTTTTGAACCGTTTTGGGAGATAATGAACGGAAACTAAAAATTTCATCTTATTTTCAATGTAAAAGGGGCATAACTCTGCCAAAAATCATCGAACCATGACCAATTTCGAACTTGACCTGTATTTTCTCATGACATATCCATATGTCAAATTTGAGTTCAATATGTGCAAGGGTTATTAAGATAATGAACGGAAACTGATGATGACGGAAGGACGGAAGGACGGAATGACGGAATGACGGAATGACGGAACAGGGTAACACTATATGCCCCTGCCATTATATGGCGGGGGCATAATAATAATAAATCAAACTTGAGAAAAAAAGTATTGTGATTTTAAGAAAAGTAAATAAAAATCAAGATTTAAAAGTATAATTAATTTCCATGTTATGTGCAATTTATGACCAATTTTGCAGTATTTTTCATCATATTTCTATTGCATTACTAATGCAGTAAATTCAAGGGCTATTTTTGCATATTTTGACCTCTTTTGGGTAAATAACATGGGTTGTAAGGGCTACTTGCAATGTGAAAAGTATTTTCTTTGTCCATTTCACTATATTTTTCTTTTTAATAATTTTCAAAATTTTGCATGTATATTAGCATGCATCTGCAGACGTGCTGCCCTAAGGTCACATACATCAAATAGCAGAATGAAAACCATATTAAAGAATTTACTGAAAGTATTTGCCCACTGAAATTCACACTAAAGTTTTAAATGGGGCAATGTCCTAACATTCAATGTTGTTTGCTTTATCATTATCATCCTATGTATTTTCTGTGATTTAGTGTTGAAACTGTTATCACCAATATTCTCCTTGGTCATACAAAACAATAATATATCTGAACGCCACAATAAGTGTTTATTTCAAGTCTCAGGTTATTTTTTGTGTGAAATCCTTGGCATATAAAACTGTTTGACATTTAAATGATATTAAATACAGCCTACTGGTATAATATTTTATTATTGTTGAAATGAACCAATCTTATAAAAGGTGTGGGGTTCAACAAAAACGTGGAATAACTGCACACGTGTGAGAAAATCGGTGTTGTAATATGATTGTCTTCTATGTTATTGAAACCCTAAATGACCGGTTAAATAAACAACAATAAATTGTATTTTTACTTTTTACAGCAGACAGGCAGACAGCTTAAGTGCCAATAACACCAGATAATTTCTGACATAGCCAATTTTCATTAACTGAATTAACTGAACTATAGTTAAAACCACATTATCAAGTTACAAAGACTATGTCTGGCATTATATCCTCTCCAAATAACATATACATACACACACTACATATATAAACTTTGTAGCCAGATGTCTAGTAACTTTTCACATCTCAGAAAAATTTTGAAAACACACCCAGCTGTTATCATGTGCAGACCTGACGTGCAGCAGCTTTACATACTCAATGTAACATGTTTTGTCAACATGTGACTTGCTTATCCAAGCCGCTGTAACACTTTCTTACGCAAGCAACAACATAACTGCAATACTAACATAAAATGTTTAATTGTTTGTTTGTTTGTTTCATTTTACGCCTTTTCCCAACAGTATTTCAGTCTTATAGGCGGGTAGTTTCATAACCATCGTTCCTGGAGAGTTACACCAGTACTAGACTACCTTCCTCCGCGCTAAACTACCAAAGCATCTCCCGGGGATCAAACCCACGCCAGAGAGGTTACTGGATTAGAAGTCATCGACTCTAACCCCTCGACCACGGAGGCGATTATAAAATGTATAAAAAGTCACTAATAATATCAGAGGTGGCAAAATTGTCCGTATTGCCCATGTTGTTCTTAAGTTTGTGCCGACAAGTTTTCAAGAATTTATTTTATAAATATCATAATTATGGACAAGTTAAGGAATGCTTCAGACAAAAATGAACAAGTATGTCAAATCAGATTTTGCAAGCCCTGAATATAATGATGTATTAATGTTTTTCACTGCCTAAATCAAAGAAAATTTCATAAGCTGAGAAATTGCATTGTTTTTTACTATTCTGGAGTGTTACAAATTTTTGCTCTTGAATAAAAGTGTAAATATATACTTTAGCACTGATGACCTTGATCTAAGTAACCCCTAACTCAAACAAAGATGGAGGACCACAAAAGCTATGTTGTTGGGGGGTTTTTTTTGTTGTTTTGAAATATGGAACATGTTGGTGAAAAAGGAAATCTAACTTGCTGGAATAGCTTAATCATACAAGGTCCTATTTACAAATTGATAAAAGGGGAATAAATACCACAGTTATGTAACTTGTCAAATTTATGTACTTTGTATTGATGAGTAAATGCATGAACCACAGTCTGGTATGCATCAAATTTAAGTACATGTAATATCCAACTTGCCGGAATAGGTTAAACATACAAAGTCCTATTTTTAAAGTACCAAAAAGGGAAATAACTGGAAGGAAATAGTTTCCACAGTTATGTTACTTGCCAAAATCATGTTCTTTGTATTGGTAAGTATGAAGACATTGGTTCAGGTAGAACTTGAGATATAATCAACATGCTCCTTTATGATCCACCTAAGGACTGACCAAATTACAGATGGACAATTCAATTACTATATCCCTACAGTATTTTTTGGGACAAATGAACTTTGATATGTACACTCACCTGTTGATACTGGTTGGCTGACTGTAATGCTGACAAACTTAGGACTTGAATTCCCTGAGGTTCCTGAGCTGCTTGTTTCTGAGAAACAAAAGGAAAAATTAACATTGTCTATAAATAGAATATATACTAGATATTGTCACCTGTTGAAATTCTGGGAAAAAATTAACATTGTCTATGAATAGAATTTATACTAGATAATGTCACTGGTTGAAATTCTTAGAAAAAATAAATTAACATTGGCTATGAATAGAATATATACTAGATAATGTCACTGGTTGAAATTCTGAGAAAAAAATTAACATTGTCTATAAATAGAATATATACTAGATAATGTCACTGGTTGAAATTCTAAGAAAAAATAAATTAATATTGTCTATAAATAGAATTTTTTATATTCAGTCAGTAACACAAGATATATAATATTGTTAACAGTTGAATAGAGTTTACATTATGTCAGAAATGCCAGATATGTTGTTAATGGCAGTTGCAAAAAAAAATCTGAAAATATATTTTCACATAAGTTTATTCAAGCATTTTAATCTTCATCAGTGCTACCGTCAGGTTTACCAATAGCATCAAGTTTTAGTGAAATAGATATGTAAAAGCAATTTCGACTTATCAAGTAGTTTGTTGATCTTGCTTTACGTCTAGACATATCAACAGGATGCCAAAGTCGCAAAAGATTTGTTGTGGTGTTTGTTTGTTTTTTTTTGTTGTTTATTTTGGCTGGATTTTACATAACGCCATTAGTGTATAATTTATTTGAAAGATTCCAGTTTTGATTTTGGAAAAACCCCTTCAGTGCCCCATCTGTGACAGCTGAGAATTATTTTAGGCACAAGCATGTAGAACAACTGACCATCCACCCCTGCCCCACCCTCTTACATGTGCATGACCTAGCGAGATAGCTTCCTCACATAAAAGAATCCAAAGTGCCAGCCATATTTTAACCTGCAACAGGGCAAATAAAGTCAGCAACTTGTCCGCCATCAGGTCCACATAATAGAGTATACATAATAAAATTGAGCCGCGCCATAACAAAACCAACATAATGCGTTTGCGACCAGCATGGATCCAGACCAGCCTGCGAATCCGCAGACTAATCAGGATCCATGCTGTTCACTAACAGACCCTATAACAAGTAGAAAAACTGATAGCGAACAGCATGGATCCTGATCAGACTGCGCTGATGAGCCATGCTGGTCGCAAACGCACTATGTTGGTTTTGTCATGGCGAGGCTCATTAATGTAAGTGATCTCAACAATATACGGGAATTCTTTTACAAAGGTCTATAAATGGAGAAAATGTCAAGAGTCCAGGTTTTGAATGATGTTATTTTACCTCCGTATGAATTAATTTGTAAATTTATACGCCAAAACAAAGAAATAGTACCCCAAGAACATTAGTTTTCCTTTATCTATTTTTGAACTTTAATAAATATATAATATGCAAGAAAATGGGCAATTGCTGCACATGAATACCCGGTCTCTCAAGTAACTGTTTAGCAATTAGTCTGATACTGCCTCATTAAATGCCTTAAACAGTTTCCTTGAACTAAATTTTCCTGTCTCAACTGTCAGTCTGTGCAAGACTCTTATAATGAAATATAATTATGAGCCGCACCACAACAAAACCAACATAGTTCGTTTGCGACCAGCATGGATCCAGACCAGCCTGCGCATCCGCGCAGTCTGATCAGGATCCATGCTGTTCGCTTACCAACCCTATTACAAGTGGAGAAACTGATAGCGAACAGCATGGCTCCTGATCAAACTGCGCGGATGCGCAGGCTGGTCTGGATCCATGCTGATCGCATACACATTATGTTGATTTTTGTCATGGTGGGGCTAATATGTAATATTTATAGGTGTTTACATACCTGTCTCAGAGATGCTAAGGCAGCATTTCTCAAAGCTTCTAGGTCTTCCTGGAATAAAAAACAACAACATTTTATCATTAATCGAGTATGAAAATATTAATCATGGTCTAAAATAAAATACTGTTTGTTTGTTTACACACAGACTTTAATTGTCAATTAAAGTCTGTCGTTTACAGTTTCAGATACGGTCAAAATTTTTCATTTGGATAAAAAATTGATTTTATCTTAATATGATGCAAGATCATAGGAAAAAATGAGTCCTTCAAAAGAAACCCTTAGAAATGCAATATTTGACACATTTAACACTATTACTGTATAAGTGTTTTTTTCTGCGGGCTCCAAATTCTGCGGTTTTTCCAAATTTTGGCATGTTTTTATTTCTGCGCATTTTATTTCTGCGGCACATTCTTTGGACAAAACGTGATTTAAATTCTGCGACTCATCTTATCAAAGTCTAAGTCACATTACCCTATCTATTTTATTTGCATGTATACATTTGCATTTGATTATCGTCTTCATCGCAAAACTGTATAGTAATTACAAACAATTATATTGTTTGCTTGCAAACAAATATAATGCACAACAATAGTGACATGTGGAAAATATACCCCGCTTAGTATAATTTGATAAAATTGATAGAAGTCTACCATAAATCAGATGGCAATTAAAGTATACAATGATTATTAAGCAGTATAAGGGTTGGAATAGTTTGAAATATCTTTATGAATTTCTTTAATTAGCATAATTAACAAAAAGTACATCCTTACAAACACAGATTAAATACTTAGCCGACAGCAATTTTATACAACTCAAAAAACCTGCTAACCGTTATAATCTGTTAGTCGTTATTACTTTAGACAAAACACAATGTAGGATACATATCGTAGCAGGTAAGAGAAATATTCTGCGGTTTTTATTTCTGCGGTGCCGAAACTGACCGCAGAAAATGCAGAAATAAAGTCACCGCAGAAAAAAACACTTATACAGTATATATGAAAATATCAACACCTCTAGACCCTATACTGATGCATTGGTTACCTTTTTCTGGAGTTTCATATTGTGATGACAGGGAACATGTTTATTTTTGCTTATAATTCAAAAGAGTAAGAACATCAAAACACTCTGCAAAATAGGTCAAATCATTCATTTATATAATACTGCAGCAAATAACTAAAACTGAAAGAGGCTGCAGAATGTGACCCAAGATGTTAGCTGTTCAAAAGTTATATTTCTATCAATTAATTCTCTGTCATAAAAAAAAAATTTGTTTCATTTGCTGGAAAAGATATCTAACAATGAATACAAGCATTCTGAACTATTACTGAAAAAAAAAATTCAAGGCCATTTCCTGTTTCATTTCTTTATTTTGTTGGAATCAGTCCAAACCCTATATCACAACTACAAAAAAAAAATCCCTGAATTGAAGTTTCATTACTTCAACAATTTGTGGTATTGCTTAGCAACATAAAACAGGTCGTATAAAACCCCTCCAATATCTCTTTCCATCCATTTTAGGCATACAATGAAATGAATGCCTTCTTTAAATAGAGTCAATATTTCCTTGAACGTATCTTATTCAGATTAGAATAGAAAGTTATCCCTGGATGATATTCATACTCTAGCATTAATTCAACGATAAATTACTAAGTGTTTCCAATTGAAAATTAATTAAGAGTCAGAAGGATGGGTACCAGTCTGAAAAAAAAAATCACGATCCTCATGACATTTCAATTAGGGACATAAATTGTACATGCCAATGTATATGAACTAAATGAAAACCTGAGCAAGGAACTAGAGATATGCAACTGAGCAAGGAACCAGTGACAACAGGTGCCTGGGCAAGGAACCAGTGACAGGTGCCTGGGCAAGGAACCAGTGACAGGCACCTGAACAAGGAACAAGAGATGGGCACCTGAGCGAGGAAACAGTGACTGGCATCGGGCAAGGAACTAGTGACAAGCACCTAACAGTAGGGCTGTGCATTGCCATTTTTTTCTGTCACGATACTTGCATAACCAAACAATGCAATTCACAATATGTATTGCATACTTTGATAAAATGCGATGCATATTGCGATTCTTATGTTTTGATGCAATACGTATCACAATACTGACTTTCAGACTTTATCTATATAAAAAAAACTTGGTCATTTGTTCTCAGCATAATTACGAATATAATATAAAACTACTACAATAACAAAACAATAAACTCTTCAACTTGTTATTATAACTTATCTTCAAGTTTAAATTTGATCTTTTAACAATTTACAATACTTATTACTTAAGGATTTTTACTTTTTACTTCAGGATTAAAGGTATTTTTCATTATACCATAACTATTGGTGTATTGCGATACTTTCCCGCTATATCGATGCATCGGGTGGTGAAATATGTATTGCATTCTGATATATTGGAATTTATAAATTCATTATGATGCAGACATCGATGACAGGGCAGATCGCGATGTATCGATGCATCGATGAATCGTTACACCTCTACCTAACAGGCATCTAAAAGGCAAGGTTCCAGTAATGGGCACCTGGGCAAGGAACCAGTGACAAGCTCCTGGGCAAAGAATCAGTGACAAGCATCTGAACATACCGTAAAATTCCTAATAAACGCCCTTCCCCTAATAAAGGCCCTCCAAGGCCTTTTGATAAGGAAAACAATCTACTCATCAGTGCTGAACTCATAATTAAAGCCATAATTTTATTCAAATCATTCAAAATCCATAGTATTTTAAAGTAAACACAAATATGTATAATATGAACTTTAAAACCTTAACACTTTTTAATGTTATTACAAATACTTGCTAACACTAAATGTATTTACAGTGATTTTTGGATTTAGGGAAAACTGTGTTGTAATAATAGCCCCCCTTTTGGAAAATGTTTAGCCCCGGGGGCGTTTAATAGGAATTTTATGGTAAGAAGAGGCATGGAACCAGTAATGGGTACCTGGGCAAGGAACTAGTGCCAAGCATCTGAAAACAAGAGCACCGCTAGGCGGAGCATTATATGCCCGAAAGTGTTTTTTTTTTTTTAGTAAAGATGAAGCATTTGTAAGACATGGGACTAAAATAAAGTATTACCTCCTTCAAATAACAATCCTCCTTTGAAGTTTCAAAATTGTGGTCCAAATGGAACTTTAAGTTATGTCCCAGAAACTGTTTTCAATTCTAAGGTAAAGTGACCTTGACCTTTGACCTTGTGACCCCAAAATCATTAGGGGTCTTTTATCCAATATGGACAATCATACTATGAAGTTTTGAATATTGTGGGCTAAATGGAACTAAAGTTATGCTCAAGAAACTGTTTTCAATTTCTAAGTAATAGTGACCTTGACCTTTGACCTCAAAATCAATAGGGGTCTTCTACCCAATATGGACAATCATCATATGAAGTTTGAACACTGTGGGCCAAAATAGAACTTAAGTTATGCTCCGGAAACTGTTTTCAGTTCTAAGGTAATAGTTTACCTTGACCTTTGACCTTGTGACCCCAAAATCAATAGGGGTCTTCTACCAAATATGGACAATCATCCTATGAAGTTTGAACACTGCGGGCCAAATGGAACTTAAGTTATGCTCCAAAAAACTGTTTTTCAGTTTTAAGGTCATAGTGACCTTGACCTTTGACCTTATGACCCCAAAAATCAATAGGGGTCTTCTACCCAATATGGACAATCATCCTATGAAGTTTGAATATTGTGGGCCAAATGGAACTTAAGTTATGCTCCGGAAACCAAATTGCTAACGTTTTCAGTTTTAAGGTCATAGTGACCTTGACCTTTGACCTCATGACCCCAAAATCAATAGGGGTCTTCTACCCAATATGGACAATCATCCTATGAAGTTTGAATATTGTGGGCCAAATGGAACTTCAGTTATGCTCCGGAAACCAAATTGCTAACGGACAGACGGACAGACGGACGGACGTTCTCACAGGACAGTAATTATGTGGCTACTCTATTGTTCTCTCTATTGTTCTTTTAGCCACGCAAAAGAAAATAGCCACATAAAAGCATTACGGAATGAATGACATCAAAGAGAACCTATTGTCCCTCTAGCCACATAATTACTCTCCTGTGAGTGCGGACGGACGGACGGACAGACGGACGGACGGACAGACGGACGGACGCCAGGGGGTTTTAACATAATATGTCCGAAATTCTTTCGGGCATATAAAAAGCATTAGTAACAGGCATGTTAGCAAGAACCCAGTGAGAGGTACTTAGTCAACAACATTTCTCTTTGTAGGTATAAATGCTTGGGTTTTATGTCACACAGACACAGTATATGTAATATAGGTCTAGCTTTACTGGTGGAGGAAGACCTCAGGTGCCCTTCCGTGCATTATTTCAGGCACGAATGGATAGCTTCCTCATATGAAAGAATCCAAAGTCCCTGTTGGATTCGAACCCAATGCCATGAGAGGCAAGTGGTTTGAAGTCAACGATCTTAACCGCTCGGCCAAGGAATCCCCCAATGTAGATATGTTACATTCAAAACTCTACACACTATATGAACAATATGAATATAAGTGTCATCAAATAATGGACCAAATTTACTTGACCTGTAATAGGGAATGCAGCTTCAAATACATAGTTTTCATATTGTTTTATTCAAATTAGACATATAAAGCAAGAATTTTATAGATTTTTATAAATTTCTCCATAGAATTACTTTACTCAAAGATGAGCATTGTATATTTTTAACCATTAAGCATCCTAAAGGACTAGTACATCTTTTAATCTTGACAAAACCATTGATAAATTTTAGGGAAAACTTCAAAATATGTACTGGCTGAATAGCGAACAGTACTGAATACGAGATGTCTGCATGGCCGTGCCAGATGACCCTAGTCTGCACTGGTAGCGTGTGTGAAATCAGTTATTCTGGAGTAGGCTAGAAATTTATTTATCAATGACACGAAACAAAGAATGTCTCAGTTCTTCTTAAACATGTAAATAGGTCTGTGTGTCAAACATGGAATCATGATTAATAAACTACATATATTAATACATGTAATAATATGTCAATCCCAATTA